GTTCCCCTGGGGCCCGCATCTCGACTGTGGGCCACAGTGGGCCCCAGCTTTGAGCGCAGGAGCAGAAGGGACCAGGAGAGAGGTGCTGCAGCAGAAGAGCAAAAGAGGCAAAAGAGGCAGAATCCTGCGTGCTCTGTGGTTTTCTCTGACTTCACAGGGAGGGGGTAGGTTTTCACACCTCTGGTGGCTCCCATGTGACTTGCTGGTGGCTGCTTTTGCTGAAAAAAGGGGGGGGGGTTGCTGAATTCCCCCAGCTGTTATCCACCAAAGCTGCGTTCTCTCCTCTGGTCATCTTATCAGGATGAAATATGGACACTGGTTCCCACTGTCCAAAAAGTATGATCATGGCATATGGCATAACATCAGTTTGAAGCTCAGTTGATCCTTCCAGGGAGAGAAGGTCTGAAAAATCCAGTTTGCAGGATGACTTCCTGCCGAGAGGCAAAGACGAAAAACAATGTTAAGAATCAGGTTGACAAAAACTCAGTTTGACTCAGCAAAACTCAGCTTGGCTATAGTACCCAAAACTGGCAAACACTCTGGCGTTGAGGTAGTGGCAGTCAGCAGCTTAAGAACACTCCGTTAACGAGGTAACCCCTTGCAGGTGTGTGAGGAGGAGAATCAGAACCAGGCGCCACCTGGTGGAGGAAGGAAGACAAACACACAAACACACAGACCACACAGACTGGAGTCCTAACAGTTTGAGGAAGTCCGTGGTTTCTTTCACTACAAATTACTTAACATTTTTCTTTGTATTGGCTTTCAGGGAAAAGAAAAAGGAGAGCTAATACAGTGAATGAAGTACCTGAGGTAAGCAATATCTTTTCTTCCGATAAAAATTGTAATTCTTTACTTGTCAAACAAATATGACATGTCAAAAAATGTTGGACGATATCTTGAGAATACACTAATTTAGTTAATTTATGAGCAGTAGATCATCTCTTTATCAATACAAACTCTCGACCGCACAGGCTTTTTTTAAAAATCTGTTCAAATTAACTTTATCTCAAATCTCCCACTTTTCCGTCTGCTGAAGTTATCCTGCCAGTAGATAACTAAGTATTTTTTTAAATCTGGAAATTGTATGTAAAGATTGTATTTTTAATATGTCACCTCTCAGTTGAGAGAATATGAAGAGCCATACAGAGAATGTCAACTAAATATGTTATTTTCTTTTTTCTTTTTTTGCTTCAGTCTACTTATATTTCTGGAAAATCCACGACCACATCGGTATAAAATTCTGGCAGAAGTTTCTTCATCTCCTTCTCCGACCTCGACTGCCTTGGTGCAGCTTATTGATTGCTTGACCAAGCCAATGATACTAGAACCTGCCCATACCAAAGGCCTGAAACAGAGCTGATAAGAGCAAAATCAAACCTGCTACATCCAAGAGGAGTCTGTTTTGCAAAGCAGGTTTAAACCCAGACTAAAATCCTCAACTCTGAATTGGTCAAGCCTAAGGTTGGGAACTCTTATTTGTCAGTTTCATAAAATCTGCTGTGAGTTAGTTTAATGAACTCTAAGTAGGTCCACTTATAGTTGAACACGTGTAAGAAGTATGAAAAACCATTATCAGTGGAGCTCCGATTTGACAAGTCACCATAACAGGCAACAGGAAGTGCCTAT